CCCCAAAAGTGACCAAGGGCACCCCAAAAACTGACCTGGGACACCCCAAAACTGACCTGGGACACCCCAAAAACGGACCAGGGCACCCCAAAAACTGACCTGGGACACCCCAAAAGTGACCAAGGACACCCCAAAACCCACCTGGGACACCCCAAAAGTGACCAAGGACACCCCAAAACCCACCTGGGACACCCCAAAAGACCCCCAAAACTGATCTGGGGCACCCCAAAAGTGACCAAGGACACCCCAAAACTCACCTGGGACACCCCAAAAGTGACCAAGGACACCCCAAAGCCCACCTGGGACCCCCCGGAATGTTCAGGGACACCCCAAAAGTGACTGGGGGTACCCCAAAAGTCCCTGTGACCCCCAGAGTGTTTTTGGGGTTTGCACAATTCCCTGAGCTCCCCCCATGGATTTTGGGGGGGTTTAGGGGATTTCAGAGCCCCCCAAAGTCCGTCTGGGAAGGTTTTGGGTCTCCCCAATATTTTTGGGGTCCCCCCCCCGGATTTTAAAGGTTTGGGGGTTCTCAAAGGCCCAAAATCCCCATTTTGAGGAGCTCTCCGCAGGGATTTTTGGGGGTTTTTGGGGTTTTTTTGGGGTTTTCTGTGCTTGACAAAATTCTGCATTTTGGGGTGACCTTTGACCCCTCCCCAATTTATTTTTGGGGGGTCCCGACCCTTCCACAGCCCCGTTTGGGGGGGTCCAGGACGCCCCCAAATGAATTTTTTGGGGGGAGGGGATGGGATATTTTTGGGTTCCCCCATTTTTGGGGGGGGGGTCCCAGAATCGCCCAATTTTTGGGGTGGGGGAGGGGTCCCCCAGCGCCCCTCCCCCACTGATCTCCTTCTCGTCCCCAGCTCGGAGCCTCGTGCTGGATTTGGGGGGGCCCCTCCCCCCCCCGGGCCGCGGATGGACGCCGAGGGGGGGAGGGGANTGTGGGGGTGGGGGCGGGGACAGGACTGGGGACAGGGGGACAGAGGGACAGACATGGGGACAAGGACAGGAATGGGGACAGGGACAGCGGGACAAGGATGGGGACAGACGGACAGGAGCTGGGGACATGGAGAGGAGGATGGACACGGACAGGGGGACAAGGGTGGGGACACGGGGACAGGACAAGGGACACAGGGACATGGGGATACATGGGGACAAGGGTGGGGACAGAAGGACACCATGGGGACACGGGGACACGAGGACAGGGTGAGGGACACGGGGACACGATGGGGACACGGGTCAGGACAGGATAAAGGACACGGGGACAGGACAGGGGACACGATGGGGACATGATGGGGACACGATGGGGACATGGGGGACAGGGTGAGTGACACAGGGACAGAGTGAGGGACACGGGGACAAAGTGGGGACACTGGGACATTGAGTGGGGTCAGGACAGGATAAAGGACATGAGCACACCACGGGGACACTGGGACACCATGGGGACATGGAGAGGGTGGGTGACACACGGACACGATGGGGACACGGGGACAGGGTGGGGACCCCACGGGGACCCGAGGCCGCCGCCGTCGTTACCAAACGTTTTTATTCCCACGCGCGGGTCCAGTACAAAATCGGGGGCGGGGCTTGGAAACGCGGGCGTGGCCCTTTAAGTGGGGCCGGTGGGCGTGGTCTCTAAAAAGGGGCGTGGTCTGTTAGCGGGAGGGGTAAATGTGAGTGACAGCGAGAAGGGCGGGGCTTCACCTGAGGGCCCAGCCCTCGGGAGCCTCCTGATTGGGTGAGCAGGGGGAATGGGCGTGGCCTCGCGGGGGGCGGGGCTTCCTGTGGAATCTTCAAAGGGCCACGCCCAGGTGGGGCCCGACGCCAGCGCCTTAAAGGGGCCACACACCGAGGGGGGCTCACCCCCCCTTCCTACGAGCCACGCCCGGCCGAGCCCCTTTAAGAGAGGGGCCCCACACGGGGATCCTTAAAAGGGCAACACCCCTAAAAGGGGCGGGGCCTCCATCGCAAAGCGCGCGCCCGCTTTAAGACTCTTCAAACGGCGCCCGGTGGGGCCCACCCGGAGCAGCTCCGGGAGGGCGGGGGGTCCCGAGAAACGGGGAGGGGTCCCTAAAAATCCCCCGCAGGGCCAGGCTCCTGCCGGGGCGGCCTCAGGGCTCGTCCTCCATGCTGAGGCTGCTGCGGGGGCTGGAGGCCCGCGAGGGGCCCGGTGAGGCCAGGAGGGCGCCGGGGGGGCCGAGCGGGGACAGCCCCCCCCCATCGTCCATCAGGATGTCCTCGAGGGTCCCCTCGGGCCCCCCCAGCGCCAGGGGCAGCGCCAGCCCCGGGGGCAGCTCCAGCAGGCACTGGGGGGTGGGGGGACCCCCGGGGGGGAAGGGGGGACCCCCCCCCGAGGGCTCCTCGCAGCCCCCCTCGGCCATGGCGGGGGTCAGGGGGAGCCCGTGGATTTGGGCCTGGAGCTCCAGTTCCTGGGGGTGGAATTCGGGGGGCTCGGTGAGCCGAGTATCCCAAATATCCCCGGATTCCGCTCCCCCCGATTCCATGGATTCCCCTCCCCCTCCTCTCCAGACATCCCAAAATCCTCCCCAAAGCCAAAACATTCCTGAAAACTCCGCTCTGCCCCCAGGGAGGCTCCCAGCTCCCGCCCAGCCCCGGGATCCGAGATCCCGCCGGGCCCAGCCCCGATCCCGCATTCCCAACCCCAATTCCGCATTCCCAACCGCAATTCCGCATTCCCGATCCCGACCCCGCCCATTCCCGATCCCGATCCCGCCGGGCCCAGCCCCATTTCCGCATTCCCACATTCCCATCCTGCGCTTCCGATCCCAATCCCACAATCCTTATCCCACATTCCCAATCCCAATCCCAATCCCAATCCCAATCCCAATCCCAATCCCAATCCCAATCCCAATCCCAATCCCAATCCCAATCCCAATCCCAATCCCAATCCCAATCCCAATCCCAATCCCAATCCCAATCCCAATCCCAATCCCAATCCCAATCCCAATCCCAATCCCAATCCCAATCCCAATCCCAATCCCAGTCCCACACCTGCACGCGCAGGGCCAGGCTGCGGTTCTGCTGCTCCAGGCGCTGCTGCTGCAGCTCCAGCTCCCGCGCTCGCTGCGTCTCCTTCTGCAGCTTGCGGATGTAATCCACGGACGCCTTCAGGATCGTGCCCTTGTTCCAGCGCATCTCCCTGCCGGGACCCGCGTCAGCCCCACACCCGCAGACCCCCGGGAGCACCCCCAAATAACCCCGGGATCAGCCCCAAATAACCCCGGGACCACCCAAAAAATAACCCCGGGAGCACCCCCAAATAACCCCGGGATCACCCCAAATACCCCCAGGACCACCCAAAAAATAACTCCAGGAGCACCCAAAAAATAACCCCGGGACCACCCAAAAATACCCCCGGGATCAGCCCCAAATATCCCAGGGACCACCCCCAAAACAACCCCAGGATCAGCCCCAAATACCACCGGGAGCACCCCCAAATACTCCCAGGACCACCCAAAAAATAACCCCGGGAGCACCCCCAGAATACCCCCAGGATCAGCCCCAAATACCCCAGGGACCACCCCCAAAACCCCTGGGATCACCCCCAGACCACTCTGGGATCAGCCCCCAAATACCCCCAGGACCACCCGCAAAATAGCTCTGGGACCATCCCCTAACTCCCCCAAAATTTCCTATTTCCCTTCCAGGACCTGCCATGGGGGTCCCTGGACAACTGAGACCCTCCAGATGCCACTCTGGGGGTCCCTGAATGGCATCTCCCTGCCGGGACCCGCGTCAGCCCCACACCCGCAGACCCCCGGGAGCACCCCCAAATAACCCCGGGAGCACCCCCAAATAACCCCGGGAGCACCCAAAAAATAACCCCGGGATCAGCCCCAAATACCACCGGGATCACCCCAAATACCCCCAGGACCACCCAAAAAATAACTCCAGGAGCACCCAAAAAATAACCCCGGGACCACCCAAAAATACCCCCGGGATCAGCCCCAAATATCCCAGGGACCACCCCCAAAACAACCCCAGGATCAGCCCCAAATACCACCGGGAGCACCCCCAAATACTCCCAGGACCACCCAAAAAATAACCCCGGGAGCACCCCCAGAATACCCCCAGGATCAGCCCCAAATACCCCAGGGACCACCCCCAAAACCCCTGGGATCACCCCCAGACCACTCTGGGATCAGCCCCCAAATACCCCCAGGACCACCCGCAAAATAGCTCTGGGACCATCCCCTAACTCCCCCAAAATTTCCTATTTCCCTTCCAGGACCTGCCATGGGGGTCCCTGGACAACTGAGACCCTCCAGATGCCACTCTGGGGGTCCCTGAATGTCAAATTTCCCCTTCCAGGACCTGCCATGCGGTTCCTTGTATGGCCTTATCCCTTCCAGGACCTACTTTGGGGATCTTTGGCTGCCAAATTTCCCCTTCCAGGACCTGGCATGGGGGAATTCCCCGCCAGGCCCCACCCTGGGGGTCCCTAAATGCCAAATTTCCCTTCCAGGACCTGCCATGGGGGTCCCTGAATGTCAAATTTCCCCTTCCAGGACCTGCCATGGGGGAATTCCCTCCCAGGCCCCACCCTGGGGGTCCCTAAATGCCAAATTTCCCTTCCAGGACCTGCCATGGGGTTCCTTGTATGCCCTTAACCCTTCCAGGACCTGCCATGGGGTTCCTTGTATGGCCTTATCCCTTCTAGGACCTGCCATGGGGGTCCCTGAATGCCAAATTTCCCTTCCAGGACCTGCCATGGGGGTCCCTAAATGCCAAATTCCCCTTCCAGGACCTGCCATGAGGGTCCCTAAATCTAAAATTTCCCTTCCAGGACCTGCTCTGGGCACCCTTGGCTGCCAAACTTCCCTTCCAGGACCTGCCATGGGGTTCCTTGTATGGCCTTAACCCTTCCAGGACCTGCCATGGGGATCTTTGGCTGCCAAATTTCCCTTCCAGGACCTGCCACGGGGCTCCTTGTATGCCCTTATCCCTTCCAGGACCTGCCATGGGGGCCCCTAAATGTCAAATTTCCCCTTCCAGGACCTGCCATGGGGTTCCTTGTATGGCCTTAACCCTTCCAGGACCTGCCATGGGGATCTTTGGCTGCCAAATTTCCCTTCCAGGACCTGCCAGGGGGTCCCTGAATGCCAAATCCCCCCCAGGCCCCACCCGGGGGTCCCTGAATGTCAAATTTCCCTTCCAGGACCTGCCACGGGGGTCCCTGAATGCCAAATCCCCCCCAGGCCCCACCCGGGGGTCCCTGAATGTCAAATTTCCCTTCCAGGACCTGCCACGGGGGTCCCTGAATGCCAAATCCCCCCCAGGCCCCAGCCGGGGGTCCCGGCTGCCCGTTTCCCCCTGCAGGACCCCGGCCCCGCTCACGGGTCGCTGTTTTTGGGGATCAGGGTCCCCAGCTCCTTGATCCGGTCGTTGATGTTGAAGCGCCGGCGCCGCTCGACTGCGGGGGGGGGACACGTGAGACCCCCGGGGAACCCCCAAAGCCCCTCCCCCAGCCCCTGGGGACCCCCAGGACCCCAAAAACCTCACAGGGACCCCCCAGAACCCCAAAAATCCTCACAGGGACCCCCCCAAACTTGACGCGGGGCAGCTCGGCCGGGCAGGAGCTGCTCCCGCCCTGCGCGGGGCTGAAAACCTCCAGGAGCGGCCCCGGGGCCGGCAGCTGCCGGGGGGGCGGGGTCAGCGCGGCCACGCCCACCCCGGCCACGCCCACCCCGCCAGAAACACCGCGGGGGGTGTTGGGGCAAAGCCACGCCCACTTGTGTGCAAGCCACGCCCCCTTAACATGCATCAGTCGTTAAACATGTATAGGCCACGCCCCTTTCAGGCCACACCCACCCACTCATGTCCTTATATGGCAACAAACCACGCCCTTGCCTTATATGGGAAAGCCACACCCCATGTCCTTATATGGGAAAGCCACGCCCCTATGACTTTATAGCTACAAAGCCACACCCCCATGCCCTTATATGGAACCAGCATGTTGCCACATATGGTAAAGCCACACTCTAAAAGCTTTATATGGCAACAAGCCACACCCCCATGCATTTACATGGGAAAGCCACACCCCCAAAGCCTTATATGGCATTGGGCCACACCCCCTTGTCCTTATATGCACATGGCCACACCCATGCCCTTACATGGTAATAAACCACACCCCAAATCCTTACATGCACAAAGCCACGCCCCCATGCCCTTATATGGAAGCAATGTACGGCCTTATGTGGGAAAGCCAGCCTTATTTGGCAACAAGCCACACCCCCATGCAGTTACATGGGAAAGCCACACCCCCTTGTCCTTATATGCACATGGCCACACCCATGCCCTTACATGGTAATAAACCACACCCCAAATCCTTACATGCACAAAGCCACGCCCCCATGCCCTTATATGGAAGCAATGTACGGCCTTATGTGGGAAAGCCACACCCCAAAAACCTTATATGGCAACAGGCCACACCCCATGTCCTTATATGGGGGAGCCACACCCACACACCCATATATGGAATCAGCACCCACTCTACATGGAAAAGCCACACCCCCAAACCCTTATATGGTCAAAGCCACGCCCACACCCTTTAATGGCAACGATCAGCTGCCAAATACAGCACCAAGCCACGCCCCCACCTTATATGGAAAGCCCCACCCAAGTGCCCCTCCCCGCTGCGTGGGCGTGGCTTTGCGTGGCCCCGCCCCCTCGTTACCGTGCTGGGGAGGGGGAGGGGCCCCTCCAGGCCCAGCAGGTCCTCATAGCTCGACTCCAGGCTGATGATCTCATCGATGACGTCATCGATCTGCGCGGGACAGCGACGTCAGCGAGCCCCGCCCCTCCCCGCGGGTGACGTCACTGTGCCCTGCGTGACGTCATCGCCTGCCCCCGCCACCTCCTTATGACGTCACAGACCCCGCTATGACGTCACGAGCCCTCCCGTGACGTCACCCTCGCTGTCTGTGACATCATCCCCTTTCCTTATGCCATCCCCACCCCCTCCTTGTGACATCACAGCCCCATTTATGACGTCATATACCCATCTGTGACATCACCACCTCATTATCACCCCTTATGACATCATCACTGCCCTCTATGACATCATCACCTCCCCTTATAACCGCCCCGCCCCCCTCGTCACACCAGGCTCCTCTTTATGACGTCACAGACCCCAATTGTGACATCATAACCCCCTTTGTGACATCACACAGCCCCTTTATGACATCATCGCCTCTTTATCACATCTTGTGACGTCACTGCCGCTCTCTATGACGTCATCCCCTTCCCTTATCACGTCCCCGCCCCATTTCTCCCCTCATTACCTCCCTTATGACGTCACAGATCAGAATTATGATCTGATATCCCATTTATGACATCATAACCCCCTTTGTGACGTCACACATCCTCTTTATGACGTCATCACCCCCTTACTGCCACTCGTGACGTCACCAACCCACCCTGTGACGTCATCCCCTTCTCCCATCACGTTTCTCCCCCCGTTATCTCCCTTATGACGTCACCGAGCCCGGCTGTGACGTCACCGAGCCCCTCCGATGACGTCACCGCCCCGCTATGACGTCACGGCCCCCTCCCCTCCCCCTCACCTCCTTCTCGTGGTGCAGCAGCCCCGGGGGGGGGCTGGGTCCTCTGAGTGCCCCCCAGCCCCAAAATCCCAAATTTCCTCCCAAAACACCCAAAACCTCCTGTCCTGGAACCCCCAAATCCTCCCAGCCCCCCCAGCCCCACAATTCCGGAACCTTCCTGGATCCCCTGCTGAGTTATCCTGAATTTTAACCCCGAAAATTCCACATTTTTAACTCTTCTGAGACCCTAAATTCATCCCAAACCCTCTGAGCCCACCCAACCTCAAAATCCCAAATTTTCCCCCCAAATTTCCCTGCCCTGGAACCCCCAAATCCTCCGAGCCCCCCCGGCCCCAAAATTCCAGAACGTTCCTGGATCTGCCTGTGAGGTATCCGGGGTTTAACCCCGAAAATTCCAAATTTTTGACTCATCTGAGACCCCCAAAAATGTCCTGGATCCCCCAAATCCTCAGAGACCCCTAACCCCAAAATCCCAAATTCCCCCCAGCCCCTCCCCCCAAATTCCATTCCCTCTCTTGATCTTTATCCCTTAAAATTCCACATTTTTGACTCATCTGAGACCCCAAATCCAGCCCCAGAAATGCCCTGGAGCCCCCAAAATTCTCAGAGCACCCCAGCCCCAAAATTCCAGAACGTTCCCGGATCCCCTGCCGGGGGGGTCCCGGGGGGGTCCCCGGGGTTGGGGTCTCCCCCGGGGGGCTCCCCCGGGCCCGGGGGGTCGCTGGGGGTGCCCCCCCCGGGGGGGTCCCACTCGATGTCGGCCACGATCCCGGACTCGGGGAGCCCCGAGCCCACCCTGGGGGGCACGGGGGGGTCAGGGGGGAGGGACCCCCGGAGAGACCCCCCCTCAAAATCATAGAGACCCCAAAACAACACAGAGACCCCAAAATAACAGAGACCTCCCCCAAAACCACAGAGAGACCCCCAAAATCAGAGACCCCAAAACCACAGAGAGACCCCAAAACCACAGAGACCCACGGCAAGCACGCCGCGCC